CAGTCAGAGTGTGAGGCACAGCGGGCTGCAGGGGGGCTGGGGGGGCAGTTAGGCGCTGCGTTGCAGCTAATGTGCAGTGAGTGATGGTGCAAAGGGGGCTGCAGGAAGCACGATCCTCCGGTTTCGGGGCTCCCCCAGCCTTTGGTTGCTAGGTGTCCTCCACGTGCTGCCCCAGCGCATCTTGCTCTGGCCTGCGTGCTGCTCAGGTTTGCTCAGCACTGGAGCATGGGAATCGCTTGGCAGGTTTTCTTTTTCTTTCTTTTCTTTTCTCTTCTCTTTTCTTCTTTTCTCTTTTCTTTTCTTTTTTTTAACAGTACAGCTTCCTGGGCACCCCCCCCCCAGGGGTTCCTGCCCCTTCGTTGCGGTGGGAGTGGGCATTATAATAGACCCCCGCCAGGTGCTTTGGAGGCAGGCAGTGACCCCCACCCCCAGTAAGTGGGAGGAGCCCCAGGAAGGGGCTTTACTCCAGGAGCAAACAGGGAGGAAGGAAGTATCAGGACTGAGTGTGTGTGTGTGTGTGTGTGTGTGTGTGTGAGAGAGAGAGAGAGAGAGAGAGAGAGAGAGAGAGAGAGAGAGAGAGAGAGAGAGAGGGAGGGAGAACGTGTGTGTGCGCATGCGGGCGCAGCCATGGGCATATCAGCTTACAGTCCAGATGCGGGTGGAAGTTACTTTTTAGGCTCTGGGTCATTCAGAATGGATCCCACTTCCCTTGCCAGCCTGCATCTCTCCCAGCCTCCTTAGAGCTGCCTTCCTGGGGTTTGGCACCAGGCCTGGGGTGAGGGTGTGGGTGAGGGATGAGCCTCAGGGGCCGATCAGCATGGAGGGTGCACCCGTGTTAGGGCTTGGTGTCCCTGGTGCCAAGGTTGGACCCCTCCAGGTAATGATACTGTAATGAAGCCCACTGCTGAGATTAGTGAGCCCTGAGCACCTAACTATCAATACACGCCAGACTCTGGGGTGACAGCGAACAGTCACCAGGCAGAGGAGGCAACTCGGCCAAGGGCATGGGGGCAACAAGAGCCACAGATTGCTCCGCAGCCCCTGGGGGTCATCCCCCTGATGCTTCCAGCTGTTGGCGCCGAGCTGTGTGCAGCCAGGGTAGGTCTGCCAGGCCGAGTGGGGCAAGCAGCTGGGTTTCCAGGCCCACTTGTCCTGGATGCAGCGACCAGCCAGGGGCCCACCTGCCCCTGGCTCCAGCAGTCGTGCCTCCCTGGTGGTGCTGTGGAGGGGGTGGGGAAGGCCAAGTGACAGCCTGCCTCCCTACAGTTCATGCCCTCTGACCCCATGGTTTGGGGTACGATGCTCTGGAGCGTGAACAATGTCACGGCATTGGTCCCACCTGAGGGCTGGGAGCCATTATGGGGCAACACCCAAGACAGCTGGAGATGGGTGCCCTGCTGGTATAGGGGATCTGTGTGGGGTGCAACTACATCCACTAAGTAGGGCACCTGGAGCACATTGACCAGCTCCTGGCACCCCATAAGTGCTCCAGAAATGTAACTATCATCATCAATAAATATTCTTCTCCTGAGCCCAAACTCTGCTGTGGGCCCCACGTTGGAAGCTGAGGGTCTAGAGGTGATGAGGTCGTCGTTTCTGCCCTTTGCATTGCAGACGTGTGCATGTGTGTATGTCTGTGTGTGTTATGTGCACAGGTATACGCACGTGTGCATGCAAATGTACCCGCGAGGGTGGCAGGACAAGAAGGTACCCCATTTCAGCACAATGAGATGATCCTCAGGAGGGCATATTCAGTTTAGAGAGAGCCCAGAGCGGGAGGAACCTGAATCAGCCTGGCGGAGTCCGGGAAGGCTTCCCAGAGGAGGCAGCACTCAGCTGGAAGGACAAAGGGGTGATTACCAGGTGCAAGAGGGAAGGCGAGGCAACCTAGGCACGGCTGATCTGTGCTGAACTCTGCCGTACGCTGTGACCGAGGCCACCGCCTTCTGGGAGGCTTCAAGGCCTCGCCTCTGCCCCATGTGGTGTGAGGAGCTGGCCCCCCACTCCGGCCAGCTGGTTCCACGTCTCTGCCTGCAGACACGCGTGTGCTGCACTGAGGGAGGAGGAGGGGGAGGTGAAAGAAGGTAGGGACTACCCTTCTTCTACCTCTGCCCACCCCCCACCAGAGGGAGAAGTCCCCATGTCAGTAGAGCCCCAGCAGGGAGAAGGCCACACACTTGCAGGACGTAGGACGCAAGATGGGGATCTGGGCGTACAGCGTAGCAGGATCCGCGGGTGGCCATGCTAATGGCTGTCCTCCCCTTCCCCATTCCAGGCTGTGTTTACCCCCTATGTCCCGGAGCGCGGAAGCTCATGCCGGCTGCAAGAATACTACAACACAAAGGTCCAGATGTGCTGCAGCAAGTGTCCACCAGGTGAGGGCAGCCACTGGGGCCCTTGCCCTCAGCCTGGCTGAGTCCCTGTGGGCCGGTGCCTTGAAGGGAGTGGGTGTGTTATGGGGGTTAGGGGGTCAGGGTCATGGCCCTGGACTCCTACTGAGCTCCCACTGGTTCCATGAATCGACCCCCTGCTCCCTCTTGCTTCTGGGCCTTTGCACATGCTGTTCTCTCTGCTTGAGGCACTTCCCTACTCCTTTCCCCTGGTCTACTCCTGCTTATCGCTTAGGCCTCTGATGTCTCCCTCCTCCAGGAAGCCTGCCAGCAATGCCTGGCCAGATCTGACTCCTCCTTTGCGCTCCCACTGGCCCTTGGCATCCCCCATGGCAGCAGCTCTTTTGACATTGTGTGATCCTGCCCTGGATCTCTTTTGTTGCCCCCACTGTGTGCTCCTCAGAACAGGGACTGTGGCTTGTTCTCTGCTGAATCCCCAGCACTCGGCACAATACCTGGCACGTAGCAGGTGCTCAGAGCATATTTGACTGAATCAGTGACTGCTACCCATTTCACAGATGGTGGACCTGAGGCCTAATCCCAGTTGGGAGAGGCAGGTGGCCCAACACCTGGTGCTGTCCATCCATTCATTTGTTTATAATTTATTCCTATGATGTTTATAAAGCATTTTCTGAGTGTCAGGCACCGTTCTGAGTTCTGGGAATACAACAGAGAGCAGGGCAGACAAAATCCTCGCCCTCGTGGATTTTGCATTCTAACAGAGGCCTAGACAAATAAACCAGTAGAAGAAGTAGACATATGGTCTGTGAAGGAAACAAGGAAGGGGAAGGCAGGCAGAGACAGAGTAGGACATGCTGTTCTATATGGGGTGGTCATGGAAGGCCTTTCTGAGGAGCTGACACGTGGGCAGAGACATGCAGGAGGTGAGGGAGTGAGTTACGCAAACACATGGGGGAGGGGGAACAGCATGTGCAAAGGCCCTGAGGTGTTAGCTTCTTTGATGAACGTGGAGAACAGCGTGTGTCCTAGAGTGAGTAAGCAGGGACCATGGTAAGGAGTTTAGATTTTCTTCTGCAGGATCCAGAAAGGCATTGAAGAGCTTTGAGCCTGAGATGTGGGCAGGCACATATGTACCTGTCACCTCCAATGGCCATTTTAAGAGACCCCAGGGGAAGTGACTCTTCTTTCTTCTGTTAACCGGTAGGGTCTCTGTAAGAAGTTACTAGATTAGCACAGCAGTGAAGGTGGCAGGATAAGAATGGGGACAGGCACTCAGAAGAGAAACTTCTTAAACGTTTGCCTGGGTGTTCTCCCATCCCCTGGCATGCCTTCTCTGGAGGCCTTCAGGAGTCCCTTGGCCTCATCCTTGATGGGATACCAGGGATGACTACTACTGCCTTTTTTACCTTTCCCAGCTGGAGAATTTCAGCCAACTATAAAGAAGAAAGGAACCGGCAAACCAGTTCTAACTAAAGTGTTATTGACTAATAATAGGCAATTCCAGTGGTGGAATTCCAGGCAGCTGAAAAGAGCAGAGAGGAAGATATTTTATGAGCACCGCGGGGTTCAAAGATGGCATGACAGCTGGTACATGTTAGATGGGAAAGGATGCAGAGTCAAAACTCCATCAAAGAGCCTTCCCAGCCAGGCCTCGCAACTCTGGGGCTCTGGAGGACAAGGGATGAGCCCAGGGTCCCGGCAGAACCCCCCCAGCCTTCCCCTCCTCGGCTGAGACTCCTGGCCTTGCTTTCTCAGGCTACCACGTACAATCCTTATGCAACAAGACCTCAGACACCGTGTGTGACTCCTGCGAGAGGAGCACATACACCCGGCTCTGGAACTTGGTCCCCGCGTGCTTTAGCTGTAACTCCCGCTGCAGCTCTGGTGAGTTGGCCCAGAGTGAGGGGTAGTCCTGGGCATCCTCCCCTGGCCACCATGCACTCCAGCCCCTTTGCCTGGGAGCTGGCTGGGATTATCCCAGACCTTTGTTTTCATGCCCCAGGGCACAGGTACAGCTCTCTACTTTTTATCAGCGGCACTGTTATCCTCTGTCTCACCGAATCCTCTTTAATAGCCCCTTGGGGCAGACAGGCCAAGGGCAGCAGTGGGAAAATGGTGCCTGTTTTTAGAGTTGAGGACATTATGCTTGGGAAAGCAGGCATGCTCGTTCATGCTGCGATGGAGACTCTGTGTCCAGCAGTCTCTTGGCCCCGTCCTGAGGGCGGTT